TTGGCTTCATGAAAAATTCACAATGTTCTCTTTAAAAGTTTGCCTTGTCCTTTTGTTACTGGCTGGCACAAATGTTATCACAAACCAACACTGATCTATGGGGTGGCATTTGGGAACCACTAATATAATTAAACCCCTTTGGGCTGAGGTTTCTTTGTTTCCTCCTCCCTATCCACTCTCCACCCTTTCCAACTCATCTTTTCAGGGAACGCTAATCTTTCTGGACATTTATTCGGGTTCTCTTGACCTCTGGCTTGTTGAGTTCAGCCCGAGAAAGACACACACAGGAGAACAGGGGATGAGAGGAGTTAAGGTCAGGCTATTGACTCTGCTGGTTCGTTTCCCCTCCCTACTTCTCTCCAACCACCACAACTGCCTAGACATAGTTGGCCGTGGCTGTGTTCCTCTCCTCAAGCTTTCTTTCTAGACTTATCAGTTTTGCTCTTCCCCTACCTCTTCAGGTCAAGGTAAGGCAAAGGGCACCTGTACTTCCAGGGAATGTCTCACCAACCCTTGTTGGTTCCTTTAATCTTACCCACACCTTCTAAATCGTCCCTTCGTCTAATTCTCCTCAGTTTCTGCATTGGAGTAGCCATCTATTTCCTCCTGGGCTTTATCAATACATTCTTCATTTAAAGACAAAAATGTTGAGACGCAGACAAATGAAGCAGCTGGCTCGAAGTCACATGATCACTTAGAATCAAGTCAGATATAGACCATACCTTCCAGATTACAAGCAGGGTGCTCCTTAGGCTATGCTCAATCCAGGCCATCATCTTCCCAGAGCCACGTCCTGCTCAGCCATATTGATGAGCATTTCGATAACTAGTTGTAATTTGTTCACATTTTGAATTTAAATATCTTCTTAGGTGACTATTGAGGCAAACCCAAACACAGAGGAATACTGTTTTCATCGGAATGGATTAGAACCAGGAAAATTGAGTTTTTAAATATTTGCCTAAGTAGAAATGGGCAATTTAGTGTAAGAAACTGCTGCAAACGCTAAACACAAAAGAACATGAGAGTGATGCAATTATCACTGTGATGTGAATTCTGATCATGAAAGGGCAGTGGGGAGAGATGAAATAAATGTGCCCAGGGTGAGGGGATGAGGCATGGGTGGTGGGTGGGGGAGAAGATGATCAGCTGGGGAAAGACTTGACTCTGCATGAGAAAATGAGTAGGTTGCAGAAGGGTAAGGAAGAATAGGGTGATAGGTGCCTGTCAAGCAGAATGAGAGAGGAATGGGCAGCAGTAATGAATAGATATCAAACAGGATATTGTAAAATGTGTTTATCTGGAAGGAAGTTACTCTACCACTGAGCAGGGGCTGCTGCTAGAACCCTGACATATTAGAAGCTTCAGATTTTAGAGACACTGAATTCTCCAAAACTGACCTATGTCAAAATGCTCTTCCACAAAGGTGAAATTTGCCATAACCACACTTTTATTTAAAACTCTTTCTCTTAAATAAATGTACGTGCACATATTTAATGCATTAACTTGACTGAATTTCCCACTGCCGTTTGATCACTTGCTGTTATGAAAGTGTCCCCGTGGGTATTTTCTTTTACTTGGGTTTTAAAATAAGCTAGAGAGTCTTAATACCAAATTATTCTCTTTAAAGGAATTGGGATAATGGAATTATTAACATGTATTGAGCACTTCATCTGTCAAAGCACTTATCTGCTTTACCTCATTCAGTTCTTACAACAACCCTACCATCACTCAGCCTCATGACCACATTCTTGTCCTCATCTGCACAGTCTGGCCCCTGACCATGGCAAGCAGAACTTCTCTGTGGCTCTGATCCTTGTCAATGTCCCAGGTCAGATGCACGAAAAGTATTGCTCAAAGAAGTCACTGTTATAGCCTCTCAGCATGAAGGACTGCTCGTTCTGGTACAACCACCTTCATTGACTGCCGAGCCTTTAATCAATCAACAATTATTTATCAGGCTCCTACTTACTGTTCAGCAAAGTCCTGTCTGGCTTCTGCAGACACGAACATTTCTAGATATGGCACATGAAGTTGGATCAATCAGAAACCTTGAGCCAGTCCTTAAGGGTCAAAGGGTTTGTATAGCTGTCATTTTAGGACAGAGAAATAAAGCCTTAACAGCAAGGTAGAGGATAATGAGAAGGTACTGGAATAGATTAAGAAATCAAGAAATATAAAATTAGAAAATAATATGTAAATTTTCCTTTAAATTATCATATGAGAAACCTTTGCAACCAGAACAAAGTCTACTCTTACAATGTCATATAAAATTTGTTCAATTAGTAAACTATCAACCTCAACATCCATGCATAATAATACTCAGGTGTCTTTACTCTAATCAAAGAGTTTATTGAATTTTTAGTGTTATTTAGTATCATCTTCTATTGATCATCTTGGCTACATTAGGTATCTGTATTTAGATAATAACTTAATATTTAGGTAGACAATTTTAAGACAAAAAGTAGAAATTCACAATGGGGATTATTATTAAATTGTTGGAATTTACCATTTGGAAATCCATACACAGGTTCAATTCCCAAACACCTGTATATTGCCTATATTTTCATCATTTTGATGTCATAGACTGTTGATTAATATAATTCACTTGCAACTACTTTAACCACTGAGAATATTCATTTTCATTATTAATACAAATTGCATGTGTCCACATGTACCTGGAAGTAAAATGAAATTAATAATGGAAGTCCTATCTTTCTGCCCTTCTGCCATTGTACCTTGCAAAACTGGGACAACGACTGAGTGCATCTAACTTTTTTAGTCTTTGAAACCACATATCCACCTCCCAAACCTCTATCTTCATGTGTTTACTTATTTTTGAAATTGTTCTTGACTTCATTTTTGTTTGCCTTTGTTCTGTTAATGGAGTTACCTCCTATTTAAAAAGTGCCTGCTTTTGTGTAAGCTTTTTCCCTTAAGAGCATGGCAGAAGCTGAAAGACAGGTCAGAGAGCAGGGCGTGCTCACTACAGCTGGAGTGGGGGTGTAAAAGACTGACTTTGCATTCTCCATGGTTTGCTCAGGTCTTTCCCTGTCCTAAAACACATGACAATTCCCTAAATTTGTCTGTACAAAAAGTCCTGTGTTATTTAATAACAGTTCTCAGTTACGCCTGTTTCATTTGGCTTTGACTTATAATGTTTTTGTCTTATGGAAATGTTTGTTGTTCTCGGCTGGGGAAATTTTGGGTGTTTGAAGAAGCCCTGGAGAAATGGATTAGATGATCTTGCTGAGTCTACTCACACAAATTTTAAAAAGTTCCTCTTGAGATCAACCGTTCAACAAGAAAATTTTCCCTGGAAATAGAAGTCTAGATCAGGGATTCCCCATCTTTTAAAAATAGTTTGGCCTCATGACAATTCCCCATTTCTGCATATAATGTCTTACAGCCTGTATTCATCTCTAAGTGTAAATGCACAAGAATTTTGTTTAAAGGCTTTTTTTTTTTGAGAATTTTTGAACCCATTTTTGAAATTACTGGAACCATCAGGGATCCGAGGACAATTGGTTCACTTCCTAGTATCACCATTCCAGCCTAAGATGTTCCTCCCCTAAAGGCAAACTTTTGAGGGTGAGTATGCCCCTGTAGTGGCAGAACTTGACTGTTGAGCCAGGCTGTTGGTGAAGTAGAAATATTTTTTTGCCTCTCGTCTCATAGAATTCTGTTTATATCAGAGGCCAGTGGCAGAGACTCAAGGTTCGATGTATGGTATGAACAAGTACAGAAACTGAACGAATGCTGTATTTTTATGCCTGGTTCCATTTACCACCAGATGGCTGTATTGTATCGTCAGGAAATGCACACATGTAAAATCGGTGGTCTCATAAGCCACAGGGAAAAAAATAAAACAGAAGTTAGACCTTTAAGATATGTAGGAATGTAGTTCGTTCTTTATGGGGTTAATTGGAAACAGCTGCAGCAGGAGTATTCGCAAGAAAACAGGACGCACCCAGAGAAACTATAGGAAGGTCATCATCCTAGCATGTACAAGGTTTTCCAACTTTTTGTATTGCTTTGTAATTATTAAGTATTACAATAGCAAAAGAGTAGCAAGGAAGTGCTCTAGCCTCACAAGGGCCCGTACCTGGTGTTTTCATACCAATTTTGTGTACTCTTCAGCTTGTAGCTGAGGAAAAGTAACTTTAGAAACATTTTGAGTCTGGGCACAGTGGCTCACACCTGTAATCCCAGCACTTTGGGAGGTGGAGGTGGGCAGATCACGAGGTCAGGAGTTCAAGACTAGCCTGGCCAACATGGTGAAACCACATCTCTACTAAAAATATAAAAATTAGCTGGACGTGGTGGCACGTGCCTGTAATCTTCAGAGGCCGAGACAGGAGAATCGCTTGAACCCAGGAGGTGGAGGTTGCAGTGAGCCAAGATCGTGCCCTTGTACTCGGCCTGGGCAACAAGAGTGAAACTCTGCCTGGAAAAAGAAAAAGAAAAAGATAAAGAAAAATTTTGAGAGGCAGAGTCTACACATCTGCTAATTTGAGTCATATTAGCCAGGCTCTGGGGAAGAACGATCTGATTCTAAAACATGTGGTATCTTTGCTTTAATGACATGTGCTGAGAAGGTGAAGATGAGAGGAAACAGGGTTTCTCTGAGTTCAGTTGACTCCGTTCCTACTGTTAGGTGAATGTTAAAAACATACGCATTCTAGGTGACATCTTCCATCAGGAATGTGAAATTTTAAACCTAACCTTTTGAAGAATAAAAGTTTCAAAGTAATCAAATTCCAATGACAGTTATTTAATCTAACTTTCTAAAGCTGTTCATTGTCATCATTTATTTTTTACTCTTTTTACATTCTATGTTTTAAATAAAACTATTGTTAAAACATTTTGCCGTTTTATTTCCTTGTTAAGAAAAGGGGAGGATTTGTGTGAGTTTATCAAGCCTATCATTAGTCCATAAGATTGTTTGAGATGTGCTCAAATGATCCCTGTCAAAAAGTAATAATTGATTTTTTTTTTTAAAGAAAGTGTCCCTGGATACTGGACAGATGGCGTTTACCTTGGCCCAACTTGAGTCATTGGAGACTTGTCTGAAAGAAGCAGAAGAAAAGGCTAAAGCTTTATCTGAACAGGTAACACCTGTTATGGGAACTGGAAACAAATGTTCCTCAGTGTGCAGCATGGCAAGTGTAAATGTAAACACATGTTTTCACCTCTGCCTCTACTGATACACACACACACACACACACATACACATTGCAGTTATGCACACACACACACACGCACACAGCATTCCATTCATTTTAGACATAACAGTGCCTACTTTAGTCTGTATGGAACTTTTCGGTCTTTAAAACTTTTTTCATCTTTGTATTCTATTTGACTTTCATTCACCACAGGCCATGAGTTAGGCAAACCTTCTTTAACTAAATGGTTTTCCTGAATAAGCAAAGCATATTTGCATTATAAATAGATAAGCTCAAAGATAAAATAAAGCCTACTGGAGTCATGCAGAAGTAATTTTCTTTTATTTTTAGGAAACTGTACTTAGAAGAGAGTTTTTCAAATATTGACATCCCTCTTAGGTTTTTGAAAATTACAGAAGCAAAGCAGCAGATGATAAGTGGAGCCTGGCCTGCACCAGGTGGCCTGGACACCTTAGAGTGCTTTGCATGTACAGCAGGTCCATGATTTCAGAGACAGTAAACCAGCTTTACTAGTATCAGTAAAGCTCAGACCAGGACTGGAACATTTCCCAATAAGATTATACTTTGCAAATAGTGCAACTATTGTTGCCTTTCCCCGGGTCAGAGAGACTTGGCCCCAGAGGACAAACTGCTTGGAGTCTGGGTCCCCCAGTGCTCTCTTTTGGTGACAGTCAGTGAAGGGAAAAGGATGGAGGAGGCCCTGCAATGTTAGAAATGTTCATTAATTTCTCCTGGATTGATATATTTAGATAAAAGTATATTTTAGATACTTTGGAAACAAATAATTTTAAGGTACTTTTAATAAAGGCAGTCTCTCTGTACAATAAAAGCTAATTGCATCAGAATTTTAGCGGAAACTAAGGAGGAAAGGTGCCTTGTGTTATGAGAAAAAGTATAATTAATATATAATTTAGTGACACACACACAAATGCCCTTCATTTCTTTTTCAGCTTACCAAAAAAGGTGCATCCCTTACTTTGGCATGTATTTATTGTTTACTGACTAAATGCGATTGATGCAAGGGGTCACAGGGGAGTTGTGTCAGCTAATAAAAATGTGCTACCCTTTTGGAAAAGTTTCCATCCCAGCCTCAAGCCATAGCTCTAGCCTGCCAACTGTTTTTTTTTTTTTTTTTTTTTTTTCTAAAACAAACAGAAACAAGCCTCGAACTGTGGCAAAATTAAGAATTACCAAGAATTATAATGATAAACATGAGGTACCATTTCAAAGCAAAACAAACAAAACAACAAAATAACCTAAGAATTTCAGAGTCTCCAAATTGGGAAGGATTTTTCAGTGGATAACTAAAAAGGGGCACCCCTGCTGGGATTAGGTTACACTAAGAAGGTATATGGGATTTTTTTGGTAATCAAATGACTTTTAATGATATCTCGTTTGAATCAGTAAGATTCAATTCACTCATAAAAGTACCGATTCCTGCACTTTGGGAGGCCGAGGCGGGTGGATCATGAGGTCAGGAGATCAAGACCATCCTGGCTAACATGGTGAAAACCCCGTTTCTACTAAAAATACAAAAAAATTAGCAGGGCATGGTGGCGGGTGCTGAGGCAGGAGAATGGCATAAACCCGGGAGGCGGAACTTCCAGTGAGCTGAGATCGCGCCACTGCACTCCAGCCTGGGCAACAGAGCGAGACTCCGTCTCAAAGAAAAAAACAAGTACCCATTCCTTTGGTTCTTAATGAAATATTTCTATTTTATCCAATGCAGATGTAACCACCCAGTGGGTTCACCTTGCCCGCTGCCTAGACAGAATCGATTTATCAAGACAGGGAAATTACAGTGGAGAAAGAGGAAATCACAGAGCCACAGAGCTGGCTGTGCAGGAGACCGGGGTTTTATTATTACTCAAATCAGTCTCCCTGAGCATTCAGGGATCAGAGCTTCTAAAGATAATTTGACGGGGAGGCACCCGGAAAGTGGGGAGTGCTGGTTGGTCAGGTTGGAGATGGAATCATAGTGGGTGGAAGTTAGGTTTTCTTAATGCCTTCTGTTCCTGGGTGTGATGGCAGAACTGGTTGGGCTGGGTGGTGTCAGCTGATCCATCAAGTGCAGGGTCTGCAAAATATCTGAAGCACTGATCTTAAACTTTACAATAGTGATGTTATCCCCAGGAGCAATTTGGGGAGGTTCAGACTCTCAGAGCCACAGGCTGCATGACCCCTCAATTGTAATTTCTAATTTTGTAGCTAATTTGGTAGTTCTGCAGGGGCAGATTGGACCTCAGGCAAGAGCAGGGTCTTTGGGAAAAGGCTGTTATCAATTTTGTTTCAGAGTCAAACCATGAACTGAATTCCTTCCCACAGATAGTTCGGCCTATGCCTAGGAATGAACAAGGACAGCTTAAGGGTTAGAAGCAAGATAGAGTCGGTTAGGTCTTATTTCTTTCACTGTCATAATTTCCTCAGTTATAATTTACAAAGGCGGTTTCACAGATAGCTCCTAATATTTAAGATTCTTTGCTGGATGATCTCTTTGTATAACACCAAACAATTAGATGTATTCATTTTTTCAGTAATATAGCAGATTAAATATATAAAATGGAAACTGGATTTCACAACCTTTTTGTACCTACCATAAGTAAGATGCTGGTTAGGTGTTTTGCAGGAAAGACATATAAGTCAGAGCTTCTCTATCCAAGTAGCTCACAGACAATAGAAAAATTGGAAGATATGAAGAATGAAAATAGGTGTTTATATGACTCCAAGATAAACTGCACAATAGCATTAAGTTGCAGGATCTGTATGTGTTAATTGTACTAAAGCATTTTTCTTGAAGTTGCCAAATTTGCATAACCAAGTGAGTTTAATTGGAAGTTGGCCATGGTTTGAGGAAAGGGAGAGTATGATATGTAAAGCACATTGCAGGCATTTTCGATATTATATTTTTAATTAACTTGAGCATTTTATGAGATTTGGCTGTCTTCATTGTTACTGTTGAGAGGAGTCAATCAACACTGTTGTCACAGGATTTAATCCTAAAATTTTTGCTTTCTCCAGTGTTTGAGTCTAGTCTTTTCCTTGAAAAGATAAAAACTTTAAGAACAGTCCTCTGTCCCCTATTTTAAAATTTAAGTCGACATTAAAAACATGGATGAGAGGATAGGGAAAGGGAAGAACCTGATATTTCCTAAGAAAGTTCTTGAGAATATTTCAGAATGGAACACCTGTCTCAAACAATCAAACATTTGTCCACTGGGTGCCACTGTCTTCCTTACCAGGTCGTGCCACTAAGGGATTACAGAAAGATTGCCTTTAGTGTTAAAGACAATGATTACACACACACTCCGTGTGTGTGTGTGTGTGTGTGTGTGTGTGTGTGTGTGTGTGTTGAAGGAATATTTTTGCCTGCTATACATGTTAAGGCTTCTTCTAAATGTTGTTAATTTAGGATTTGTCACAAGGATGTTGGGAATGCTACCTTGCCTTTACTGGTAACCCAAATTATGGGCTGTCCCAGTGGAGTAGAATGAGGTGAGGAGTGTGGAAGAAACAAGAAGAACCAAGATTTGTGCTAGAAGGAAGCAGTGGAAGCTTGCAGTATTATCAAACAATGGGTCCTGCCTTTGAGAAAATGGTTAATCTCACTGTTATTCAAGACCTTATCTCTTAGCTTTGCCTCTGAGAACATAGAATTAACTCAGAACGGAAAGTATAGGTGCCTAGGATTGTTACCTACATTAATCATCTGTTGATCTGGGGCCTCGGTTTATGCAAACTGGACATTTCTAAGGACTCCTTCAGCAAGGTCCACTGTTACAAAGAAAAAAATAGAAATAGGCAACAAACAAGAAGGTTGTGGCCACTTCCTCCGATGAGGTCACACAGTCAATAGAATTCTTTGTTGGGCTTCACTTTAGCTTACAATTATTCTTTATTTCTCTGCAGTCAAGTCACTAATGTCAAAATAAAATAAACATGAAATTAGAATAATTTGCAATTAAGACTTATCATCTGGGTTAGTCAAGACTTTGAGAAATAACTGACTGCAGCAATTCAGCCAAAGCAGAGTCAGAAAGTGTCATTAGGCCCCAACTTCTAACCTGGATTATAATGATAAATCACTCAACATATTACCAAGTCTTGCTTAAGAAAATACTTTATTATATTTCCCATAGGTTAAGATCAGGTGGGAGGAAAACTAAATGCCTGGATGTTGGGTAATAGATAAAGAAAAAGGGTGAATAAGAAAGGGAGAAAAGCTGTTAGGAATGTGAAAGAAAGATGAGAAGTAAAGGGTTTCTAGAGAAGCCCATAAATAAAAGGCTTTTCATGTGTGCTGGCTTCTATCACCAGTGAATATAGGAGGACAATGAAAAGGACTCTGGTGGACTGCTGTTTATAACCATACACAAGCAAATAGACCACACAGCTTTTGTGTTGAGACAAAAAAAAGTGTCAAGAAAACCCATACTTTTGCAATGAAGCCTGAATCCAGATGCACGCCAATGTAGAGTTTATGAGGCAACATTCCCTTTGGCAGCAGTGTTAGCCCAGAGTCTCTCTCATTTATTGATGGCTTCTGGTTCCCAGCTCCAGGTATCAGATCAGGGAGAGCCCAGGCTTTGTTCCTGTTCCACTATTTGCTAGCTTTATGGCCTTGGGCAATTCACTTTGTCTCCCCAGCTACAGTTGTCTTATCTAGGAGGGTGTAAACATGTTAGTTTCATAGGGCTGTCAATAGGGCAGTGACGATTAAATGGGATAGGTATTGGTCCTTCTGTCCCTTTGTAGGTATTATGGCTGAATGTTTCTGTCCCCCCATCAAAAAGAACAAATTCATATGTTGAAACCTAATCCTCAATATGATAGTATGTGGTGGTGGGATCTTTGGTAGATGGTAAGTTCTTGAGAGCACTGACTCAGGAATGGGACTAGTGTCCTTATAAAAGAGGCTCAAGGGAACT